TCCCTTTGAATAAAAAGGATGTCACAGTTGGCTCTTTACTGAACTAGTTATGCCACAAAGACATGGGGAGAAAATAAGTGAAACTCATTCAGTCCAGACATTCTCCCTTATGAGTGTGAACTAAGAGGGGCAAGAATATTATTACAATTAGCAAAGAGGATCCTGGCAAATAGAAAGGGGAGATATGGAGGCAGTGACAGATTTTGACTTCTTGGCCTTCATGATCACTGCAGATGGTGACAACAGCCACAAAATTAAAAGACACCTGCTTCTTGGGAGAAAAGCAATGACTAACCTAGACAGCATCTTAAAAAGCAGAGACATCACCTTGCCGACAAAGGTCCACATAATCAAAGCTATGGCTTTTCCAGTAGCAATGTATGGAAATGAGATCTGGGCCGTAAAGAAGGCTGACCACCGGAGAATTGATGCTTTTGAATTGTGGTGCTGGAGGAGACTCTTGAGAGTCCCCTGGACTGCAAAGAGACCAAACCTATCCATTTGGAAGGAAATCAATCCTGAGTGCTCACTGGAAGGACAGAGCCTGAAACTGAGGCTCCAGTAATTTGGTCATCTCATGAGAAGAGAAGACTCCCTGGAAAAGACCCTGATGTTGGGAAAGTGTGAAGGCAAGAGGAGAAGGGGACGACAGAGGACGAGGAGGTTGGACAGTGTGATCAAAGCTACCAAGATGAATTTGATCAAATTCCGGGAGGCAGTGGAAGACAGGAGAGTCTGGCGTGCTCAGGTCCATGGAGTCACAAAGAATCAGACATGACTTAACGACTAAACAACAACAAGCAAAGAGGAACAAATCACCTTGGGAGATTGTGAGCTCTCCAATAAAGATGGCATTCAGGGGAAACTTAGACAGCCACCTGTCTGATATCCTTGAACAACAACAGCACCGGTTAAAAAAGGGAGCAGTGCTGACATGATTTCCTCTGTATGGCTGATGGGTGGCCTAGCCCTCTCTCTCTCTCTCTCTCTCTCTGTGTGTGTGTGTGTGTGTGTAAGAAACACAGAAAGATCAGTAGAATGGCTAAGAAGGTACATGTAAATTGTTCCCCAGCTGCAGCGAAAGGCTCAAATCTTGTTTGTGCAGTTACGCTGCATTGATGTCTTCAGCTGTGGTGATCTTTCGGAAATAAAACATTACTGGATTCCCCTGATGAAGGTCCCAAGGGCTCCCACAGAACCTCTTTCATCACTCGGAAATCACTACAACCCATGGGATGGAGAGAGTCTTTCATTTCCAAAAATCGCGAGCACTGATATGACTTTACCAGTGCTGATGAATTTCAGAAATAAAATACTTCCTCACTGTCTTATGGCCCACAATGGCTTCCCCATGATGGAAGTGTTTCCATGGGAGCCTTGGGACCTTTTTGGGAGGAAAACACTGTCCTTTTTTACTTCTGAAATCACCGTGGCTGATTACATTATTAGCCTGACACACTGTAGCTGCAAAAGCAAGATTTCAGCCAGTGACTTTTATTCTTTGTCTCTCCTGTTAATGACCAATTGCATTAAAAATAAATATCTGATTACTACATATTATGTTTATATAACTGTTTCTCAGCAATGAAAGAATTTTTGCCAAACATAGAAGTAGCACTACAGAGAAAAATGCATGCAGTAGGGATTCTCTGTCTTTATTTATGAAGGATTTCAGCAACTCACGTCTTTGGGGGGAATGGCTAAAACTAAACAGCTGCATTCATACAGGATCCACACCTCTCAATGTATACTGTCCCCATTGTACCTGAAAACGTACACCTGAGTCTGGGTGTAAATGCACACTTGCTTGTCTTCTCCCCATATGCAACATTATAATCACTTTGCAATAGGGTGAAATATTTTGTGGTGCTGTTAATAACAAGAGGATAAATATTTTGTGGTGCTGTTAATAACAAGAGAATAAGGTTGGTTGGCTGGCTGGCTGGCTGGCAAAAATGGAGACAAATCACTAAAATGCAAATTGTACAAAGAATAGCTGCTGTTTTGTTGCATGTACTTTTGAGGATCACACATATTGGAGGGTTTGTTTCCATCTTTTTAAACAATCTTCCAGTTGTTCTGTGCTTGCTGTATGGGCGTATGCTTTGCTTCTCAAAGGAAAGGATGCTAGTTCTGTGCAGAGAAAAAAATGCATGGGTTAAGGGACCCTGATGAGATAAATTAGTAATGTTCATATTGTTCTGCTTGGAGATGAAAAATCTTGTGTGCCTTGATAATTACATGCTGATTCATTTCAAATCAAGACAATGACAATGTCAGATTTTATGACATTGCTACTCTTTTTACATTGCTGCTCCTAAAGATCACATTTTTGGGAGAAATAGGTGATTATTAGCGGAAACCAGCCACATATATTTACCCTGACTCCTGGACATTTTGTGAGCTGTCCTGGAATCAGGTTTGTGGCAGGATCACATGAATTCATAATGTTTTAAATAATCAATGAAGCCAATTTTCGAACATTAACATGTAAGATTTGAGTGGCCTTGTGCTTGCTCAACCATCAACTTCTTTTGCTACTATCTTGAATAGACCCCTTCTTCAGTACCCTGTTTCCCCTAAAATAAGACTTAACCTGAAAATAAGCCCTAGTATGATTTTTCAGGATGCTCGTAATATAAGCCCTACCCCCAAAATAAAGTGTTGTTAAGTGAAACCCCACCCTCCACCATTGTACAGCATTGTGCGGCAACCAGAAGATGACATGACTATATTTGAATAAAATGTCAATTGTTGTACATGGAAAAAAATGAAACATCCCCTGAAAATAAGCCCTACTTCATTTTTGGACCCTGTCTTATTTTTGGGGAAACATGGTAGCTTGCCAGAATATTTTATATTAGAGCATCAGCTACTCATGGGGCAGGCTCCCAGCCTTGCATTTGCCCTTCATAGATGGAGTTCAGCGTCTGGGAAGGTGTATGTTGCAGAAAACCAGCAGTCTGTTCTACTCAGCAGCCTCCTGAGTAGCTCTGTGATTAACTGTCTTCTTCTTCTTCTTCTTCTTTTGCTATGTTATTAATGTTTCAATAATGCGTACATCAGAGAGAATGATAGTAGGAATCACTTCATTCATAAAATATTATAGAAGCAAGAGGGCATATACACTAAGCACTAAATGCAATTTATCCCCAGACTTATTTAAAGTGAAGATTTAATATAAATGTTGATTGAACAATGGGGATATTCTCAACATAAAAAAGGATATGCAAAAGTAGACTTCAGTTCATAACTTAATTCATATTCTGTCATTGTTTTTGTAATCTTTTAAAGTGTTCTGTTCTGTTTTCAAGCATATGGGATTTGGACCCAGATTTAGTCATACTTAGAATAGAGCCATTGAAATCATTTGGAATTACTTGACTCATGACTAACCTAAATTCCACTGATTACAGTAGCTCTACCCTAAGTGTTGCTACAATCGGTCCAACTCATTTAATTTAGCCAAAACTGTATCAGAAGCATTCTTTAGAGTCTTATATTAAACATTCCATTTGACATGTTCTCTAATTTTAGCAACAGTAATCTTCTGGCCAATTAGTGGCTGAAATCCTGTTACTTAGTGTAGCAAGTCACACTAGAATAGACCTGTTGAATCAATTGAGATGTGGTTAGTCAACTTTTCTGTATGTTCCATTGATTCAAATGGGCCTACTCTAGTTGCAACTCACTATGCTAAAGTATGTTGGAAATAAAGTGGATTCATTTGAAGCAATGGAACTTATGGAAAAGCACACTCACTAAATACCCAATTATTCAATGGACCTACTCTAGTGCAATTTAGCAGCAGGATTGCAGCCATTATGTGCCTTCAGCAATCCACATCATAATCTTGTAAACCTTACTTTTAAAGATTAAACTAATATTTAGCAATCAGAGCTTGAAAGACAAGTGCAAAAGTCTCAATTGATTAAGATTTTCACTTGAAGATTCAAAAATATGTGAAAGTTTTCAGTAACGATAATCGGCAATATTTTTAGAATGCTGCTGGTATTCATACAAGGCTTGTGTAACTTACTATAGTTAAATGTATTCTCGAAGGCTTTCACGGCCAGGATCTGATGGTTGTTGTGGGTTTTTCGGGCTCTTTGGCCGTGTTCTGAAGGTTGTTCTTCCTGACATTTTGCCAGTCATCTTCAGAGGAACGGGAGTAGGAACTTTATCCATGCTCAACAGAGCAGATGAGATCTCTGAAGTGTCAGTTGAGCTCTCCAGACTAGCACTTTCCAAATTCACTGGAGCTGAGTTTTGTTGATCATTTGCTCCTCTCTTCTTTTCTTTGTATTTCTCTAGTCACCCTTCAATTACCATGGATTATTTGTCTGGACTGAAAAGGGTAATAAAGAATGATGAGTGATCAAGAAGCATTGTCCATAAAGATCAAAAGGACACATATTTGGCATGCAGAGGCCATTGATCCCAAATATAATTTCAGAAATCTCTAGTTAAAAAGAGCACATCCCATCAAAACACTAAACTAATTTTCTCTTACTATCCGTTTGTCCCCATTGAAGGGTGAACTGAGCTGCACAAGCTGAGCCATTACAGACACATCCTACAATCTATGTCACCCTCCCCTACTGCTGATATTGCCAGTATGATCTCTTGTTTTCTTCTTCCCTAACTAGTCAGACTCTTTCCATGGGTAATTAAAAAAAATATTTCAATTTTCATTTTGAATTTGTAATTTATTGGGACTTGGTTAAATTTCTAACACTATTCTAACTGTGTTTGGCAAAAACTAGGGGAAAATTAAAAGATTTTGCCTAATTATTTGAGGAATTTATTTATTCCAAGCTCAGATCTGTACAATTAATGAATGAAAAATAGATTGTACTAATCACATATCCAGTTTATTGCATTTCCTCATTGTACATAATACTTATTAAGAATTTTTTCTCCTACTTATAATGTTACATGATGAATATGGTCAACTAAAGTACTATTTAACATGCCATGTTTTTCCAATTTCCCCCCAGTGCAAGACATATGCTTGTGTTCTAGAGAGTCATCTTATGGGGCTTACCATAGATTTTGGCATGGGCTTTGTATGCTTCGATGCAGCAACAAAGGTAAGCTGAAGAAAAACAAAATAAAACAAAATCTAATGTTCCTGTTCTGAGGATAATGTTTTGAAATTAAGTCATTTCTGAAGTCTGTCCCTATTGCAGATTTTCTTCTCTCAAATCCTTGTTATCTGTCTCAAAACAGTTCTGCAGAAGATATTTTTGTAATTTGTCCTTGAAATGGAGGACATTATTAGATCCTTTTGCACAAACCCTCCCCCTTGATCCAATTTTTTCCTTGCTTTTTAGTTCTCCGCCTCTCTGAGCATTATGGGAAAGTTTTATCTGAAGGCTAGAAGTTACCAGTTATGAAAAGCAAAAGGAACACATTTCTGGTGATGCCATCAAGATCATGTTCACCCTTTGTTAGCTAATGTAGTACTCTCTGCTGCTACCATCCCTCCCTGATAAGGGATCAGATCTCTTTGGGAAGAACATTTGAGTAGGGTATTCCTTGGGCAGAGCAACCACTGGTGTCACAAGCGGTTTGGAAGAATCCAATGTTTGCTTGTAATTAGTTTAGAATAAATTTAGTCACATTCCCAGTTTGCAGTTGAAATTACCCAGTTTTCCAAACCTGGCTACAAATCAATACCCAGGCAGATTTGTGCATCACTGCAGCATAAGATAGATAAAGGGAGCCCACTGCAAATTGATGTTTTTGAATTATATTACGCAGTGGCCTCAATGCAGGGGGCCAGAAGCATAGCACAAAGAGCAAGGGAAGGAAGAAAGCTGTCTTATACTGAATCAGACCATAGGTCCATCTAGCCCAGTACTAGCAGCACTGACTGGTTTTCAAACCATGGCATATTTTAGAGTCCAGGTGTAAGTGACTGCGTCTAAGACCTTCTGCATACCAAACATAAACTCTGCATCCCTTCCCCGTGCCCACTGTTTGAGAATGAAAAGGCAAGGAGTAGGCTTTGCGTTCACTCTTGGCCAAATAACAGGGCTGTAATTTTAACAAGGCCAATCACAAAAAAACAACATAGTCTCAATTCATTGTCCCCATTTCCTTGTGCTCCAATCTAGTGACACGGTGTTCTCTGACATAATTCATTATCAGAGATGCATTAGCAAAGTGTGTTAACAAAGTTATGGGTTCACATTTAGATTTTTGTAACAGAAAAAAAAAATCTAACAGAAGTAAGTTAATCAAAATATTCAGCTGGCAACACTGTTCAACAGAAGAAATATCAGCTATCTAGCAGAAAGAAACCATTAGATTCAGCCTCAGTCCTTGTAATAGTTTTTCTAGCCTTATGAAATCCTACTTTGCTCATTCACCTGAAGCAAGTAATTTGTTTTGACAGGTCCATGACATACCATCAGCTCTTACATTATCATGATTATGGAAAGCTTGATCTATACTTCAGCAAAGTCAATGGGTGCCTTTCCATTGATTTCTTTTTCTACCAGAACATACCTCAGGGCTAGTCAAAGAACACTGCAGATAATTTCCCCATATTTACTTGACCTGAAAGAATAAATTTGATTTGGAACTAATCTCACACTGCTCTTTGTATTCATTTTTCCGTGAATGTCCTTGTAAATGTGTGGGGTGGGATTTTTTTAGAATTAATTCTTTTTTATATAGAGGGAGAAAGAGTTTAAGTTTTCTTATGAAAATGTGTACGTTGGATGAATGAAAGCCTTTTCTGAACAGGTCAGCAAAGTACACAAAATCAAATGAGTTATATTCATTTATGTACTTGGTGTTTTTTTTAATTGTTGTGTGGTTTCTTCACTCAGTAGCAAAAAGTGTTTGGTCAACAATATGAAGACATTTCCTGTCAAAACTGCACTAATCCTTGTATATCAGGATGGGCAAAGTAGGTCACATGTCGTCTTTGAGGCCATTTTGTTAACCTCAAGGACTTACCTGATCTTCCCCAGTGCCCCTTCAAACTGGAAAAACTGTCAAATGGGACAATTTTCCTGTGCTCCCCACCACACCAACTATAGAGGCCTGTGAGGTTTCTCTTCTTCCATGTTTTATTCTAAGACTCGCAACAAGTGTATATTCAAACAAACAGGATCTGTTTGTTTGAACAGGATCTACTCAACAAGAGTAATATTCAGTTATACCAACTGTGATGTTAAGCACAAAAACAATCATTTCCCACCCTTCTTTCACTCTCTCGTAAAACCCTACCACTTCCACTGGCTCTTAAGGATGGGTTTGCTATATTCCGGCTGCTCTCAGAATAGAATTTAAGAGAACTAAACAAAGGGCACCACAAAAAAAAGATGGTTTATCAGTTCTTGAACTGAACATGCTAGGATGAAGTCTTGATTCCACCCCCACCCCCACTGTCTAGGAACAGTATGGGACTTGACAGGGCTTCTCCTGGTAAATCTAGCCAGGATTGTATTCCGGCTGCTCTCAGAATAGAATTTAAATGAGCTAAACAAAGGGCGCCACAAAAAAATATATTTGAGGTGAGGGGGAGACCTTTTGGCAGTTAGTACTTGGAAATGTCAATGTTTCTCACTTAGTTCTCATTCTCCCCAGAAGAAGGTTTGGAGGGTGACTTTCTGTTTCACTTCCTCTTAGCTTCCATATTTGGCTGCCTTGGGTCCTTTTAAGGAGAAAGATGGGGTAAAATATTTTACATACATACATACATACATACATACATACATACATACATACATACATACATACATACATACATACATACATACATACATACATACATACATACATACATACATACATACATCTCCTCCTGCTGTGATTCAATTTCTTTAATAGTCACTGTCTCCTCCATAAATATATCTCGTTCCCTGGTTCCTCCAAGGCATTCATCCATACCTCTTATTCTTCATTATTCTCTCATAATCTCTCCTCCAGGGTTGCACTTCTCCTCTCCCTCCTTCCTCTTACGCTTTTCCTCCTCTTTTCCCACTAACCCACCTACTCCTTCTGATTCTTCTTTTATTTTCCTTATCTCCCAACTCTCTTTCCTCAGAGATAATTCTTCCGTTCACAGGTCTTTTTTGTTTCCTACTCTTTCTGCATTGGTTTGATTTTGATATTTTATCATTGTTTCTCCCAGTTTAACTGGGGAACTAGAAATTGAAATCTTTTTTGAAAAAAAAAAAAAGGAGCAAGGTGACCTTCTGCCTTGTTTTGCCCCAAGCCTCCCTGAAAACGAAAAACAAGATTGGGGTTTCAGCCAGTTATGGTTTCAGTTTTGCTATTCTGTAGAAAATACCCTGATGTTAGGAAAGTGTGAAGGCAAGAGGGAGAAGGGGATGACAGAGGATGAGATGGTTGGACAGTGTCATCAAAGCTACCAACATGAATTTGACCAAACTCTGGAAGGCAGTGGAAGACAGGAGGGCCTGCTGTGCTCTGGTCCAGAGTCAGACACAACATAACAACTAAATAACAACAAAATTTGTCCACCATGGAATCTTGGAACTCCTTTCCTCAGGAAGTGCAGTTGGCCCCTTCTTTCCTTTCCTTCCACTGTCAGCTGAAAACACGTCTTTAGAAAGGCTTCTAGGGAGCTAAGAGGCAACTGAGATGGCGAGATATTTTTAAATTTTATAGTTTTTAATTTATAAAAATATGCATATACTATAGTTTTAAGTCTTAATTGATTTATTTTACTTAATTGTTGATTTTCGTTTTAAAAATCTTAATCCATGTATTTATTCAGTGTCACTTGTAGCCCACTTTTCTCTCGATGAGGTGTCCACTAGCACAAAAAGGCAAGATAAGAACCAGAATGAATGGGTGGATGAATAAATATTTATTCAGATTATTAACTGATGGACACCCCACAGTTGCCTACCCCTACTTTATATAATCCTTGTAATTCTGCCCCTCAGTCCATGTGACTATAGACAGAATTGCAGACAGGAAAAGAGGAAGGTTCTCACCAGTTCTGTAGTCCTTCTTAAGTGAACTGGAGGAAATGTGCGTAATAAATTAAACAAATCAATGAATTAACAATGAAGTACAATAAACTTGTAAAAGGAATGTCCAGCATTTCACCCAATTTAGTCTGAGAAATTCATGTTTAAAGTTTCAACAAGTTCTTTCTTTCAGAGCTTTGGGTGTGAATCTTAGGCTTTTCAAAAATGAGGGTCCATCGTCGTCGTCGTCATCATCATCATCATCATCA